ATTTGACCTCTCAATAAAATACCATAGAAACTTTATTCTTTCACAAAAACAAATTTTAACAACGAGAGTTTATAAATGATGCCTTTGGCTGTATCATACTTAATTGATTTCGAAGTGGACTTCTTGTGCTTTTTTACAGAGCACCAAATGATTGCTTCTCAGTGTTGGAAAAAATTCCAAGCTTGAAGTGCTTTCGTGTTAGGACGAATACAACTTAGAAGTCAAATTTTCTGCCGCACCCTGTAATTTCATTGAAACTCAAAGTGTCAATAGACTGGTCAAGTTAATCTAAGCTCAGCATTCGTGACAATAGAACGCTAAGAAGCATCTCGAGTTGCTGCTAGATACCAGAAAAAAAGTATCTATCATCCTAAAACTCCTCTTCCTTAAATAATAATGTTTTTTTTAAATATCTCAGAGCCCTGCGACCCTTAAGATTCAACAAAACTCTTCGACTCTTCGGGATCCACTTCGCTCGCAACACCGCGATCGGTATTATCCTAAATTATCGAGCCGGATAGTGTTCCTCCGCGAAAGGAAAGATATCTGCGGTTGTTTGTTGCAAGATCAGCGCGAAGCACGTGTTCTGTAAAAGGCGGGCACAAAAGCATCGACGAAAGTCGCTTGTTATGCGCCGGTTTCATTCGAATCGAGCAAAGATCGTGTCGTATGCAAAACGTCGAATTTCCAAGGTTCTCTCTTCAAGGGCTCGCGGCCACTCGAGAGTTGCAAAGACCTGCCGATCTGTGGGAGTCAGTTCGAGTCTGGCTATAAATCTGAATAATAAATGAGTCCCGACGGCCTCTAAGAAGTCTCCGACTCAGTGAGAAGACGTTCCTGAGGGTTTAAAAGATGAATTTACGAGTGTACCGTTCATGAAGGCACGAACGCGAAATAAAAAGCATCGTTGACTCTCTCTTGCTACAAAAAACGGACCACGGATGAGGGGAGGATACCTCCCTGCGGCACGGAACAGCTTTGCCTATCCCGAATGGATCCCTCTTCTAGGATAGATTACATTTTGCATTCTGTTTATTCAGATTTAGCATTTCGATTCTTTGGATGTCTTCATTTGCATTCCACTTTTTACTAGAAGCGTTTAAAGAAGGATTCATCGTGCGTTTGTTTACCGCGAGGCTGTCTTCCTGCATGCTATTATTGAGAAATAGTTCCTTAGTTCAGTAATTCACGATCATCGCAACAGTTTTGTTACTCCAAAAGCGTCGGGTCCATCGTTATCGTAAAACAGCTGTCTTCGACAAAGAGTGGGTAGTTCCACACCATTTTTCCTTGCTCATTATCTAAATTTCCTACGCTACCTCAAATCTAACCATGTAACCCAGTCGAAGAAACGAAAGGACTGTCGTTTCCGAGAATTCTCAGGATTCCAGCGGAACAACGTGCTTTCCCTTTTCTCCCTTCGAGGATTCTCGAAATTCTAGATCTATTCCCAAACACCGTGTAGTCCGAGGGAACCGAGCCGACACCTGCCCTCGTCCGACTGGGCGTGGAAGGGTGTACGAATTTATTTATGCTCATGGACCTCCCTAATGAATTTTCGTCCGCGGTGTGAAATTTCGTCGATTCCATAATTGGCTCATCCATCTTCCCAGTTAAAATCGGCAAAGCTAAAAAGCGAGCTGCGGCCATTATCTCCTATCCTCCTTACTACTCCTCTTGACCCTCGTAGATCGTAATTAACCCTTCGGTGGAAGTGTAAAACCATTGGACTCGCCGAGGAAAAGAAATGGTTCCCTCCAGCACGTGTAAGTTAGAGAAACTTGAACGATGATCGTTCCGACTGGATTGCGCGATACGATGATTGGGGGATGATCGAGGTGGTAAATGAGGGTGATTTATTATCAGGTCCGAATTAGTTTTGGAAATCGTAAGCCTTGTTTGGAACTAAGCATAAATAAAATTCGTCCCTTTGAGTGCCAAAGAGAGATATATCGTTGCATTTCTGTTTACAATCATGCATCTTTGCTTTAAAACTGTCTGTCTGAAAATATACATGAAAATTTCCTCTGGCACTCAAAGGGTTAATCCATAATACTTCGCATCCATCCTTCGTCTCCACAACCCCCTAACAATATTCTCTATGATTTCAGGTGTCCGCATATCAGCCCACACATCCCGAAGACATTCCTCAACATGTGTCACCCCATCTACATAATCAGCTTTCATAATTTCGCCCCTGTCGCTGCTCGATTCCCATTCACGGAAGCCTGCGCCTCGTCTCCCTGGGAACATCGGCTCTGAAATACGATCTCGAATTTGGCAGAAGGGGGGGAATAATAAGATTCTCGTTGTCGATGCGTTACGAGACCGTCGGCGTCGATCGTTTATGAATATCTACGAGCTCGAACGACGGACCCGGCATACGAAAAACCGACGTCAGCGTCTCACCGACGGCGAGGGGGAGGGAAAAAATGAAAGAACGTTTGAAGATCTAATCGCGGGATCGGTGACGTGAGTTACGTGGGTAACCGTTGTCGGCGAGAGACAAAAGTAACGCCGATCCTTGGCTTTCGGGAGCCCCATGCCGCACGATCGGCAACACTCGTGGCTACCATATCGCGGGCCCCCATCATATTTATACACCTTGCGACCGTTTGATGCTTTGCGGCCTTCGCGTGCCGTCCCATTCACACGTGGATCCCATCTTGATCCGGCGTCATAGACGTCATCTGCGTGCCGCGCACGTAACAGCGTCGCCATGTCGAAACGATTTCTGCCACCGCGAGATGTACGCGTGAGAATTTTAGCGTCGATCGTTCGCCATCGATGAATTCCGATTGCGTAGGGGAATTTTGAGGATGAAGATGGAGGTTTAGATGGACACAAGGTTTTAGGGAGCTTGGACATTTTGTTAATAAAGAAAGGAGGGTTGCATAGCGTCAGAAACCTAGCAGAGCATATCTCTAGAACACTCCATCAAGAAGTACCGAAGTCTCAAGACATTTTTAACGAAAAGAAAAGTGGCAACGCGTAGCAACAAGAACAGGATG